CTTGAACTCTTTTTTTTCATATAATTGCTATATTCTCTTAATATTTAACTGTCTTATTGAGTGTACAGAAAAGTGACTGTCAGCAAAGACCTGCTCTTGTATATTCTTGAATAGATTCAACCTCACCTTTCAGATTACATAAACTTTAAAAATCAAATAATAACCCGAGTGGCAGTGAAGGGATGAGCAGCAGGAGCTCACATACTACTGGAGGAAATGTACACTGGCTTTGGAAACTTGTTTGTCATCTAGTAAGTGGAAGATGTGCAGATTCTATGACCCAACAATACTGTCTATATATTATAAATAATAGCCCAAACCTAGGAACAGCCTAAGTAAGAATCAGCAAAAGAACAAATAACTGTGATGTGTTCATACAGTGAACATTATACAACAAGTAGGCAGATAACATAGTGGATGAATTTTATAATCATAATGTCGAGTGTAAGAAAGGAGGCACGAAAGAATAAGTGCAACATTATTTCATTCAAATAAAGTTCAAAAACAAAGCTAAACCATATTGCGGTGGTTAAAACAAGAAAAAACAGATACATACAAGCACGCCTCTCATCCTCAAAGTGAATGGTAATTTACAAAAACCTAGCCAGAGGCCTCATTCAATGAATATTGAATGCCTACTATGTCCTAGGCATCTGCTGCCCCCAACGAGGGACAGCCTATTTGGGGAAACATATAAGTAAATCTGAAATTAGGATATGCTAACATGTCACAATAGTTGTATTAAATGGTCCTTTCTTCAGCCTTAGTGTATTACTTGTACCTGATAATAAAATACTAACTTCATAACAAGATTTATTGCTTCCTGCTTTTGGCTACTGAAGAGTAATGGAAGTGCAGTATCTCTTCACAGTGAAAGCCCTCCTCTTAGCTAGTGTGGTGAAAGATCGAGCTTGTGCTGGAAACTACTTGGCGTGACAGGCCATCATTAAAGAATGTAGCAGGGCTTAAAGAGTTGGTGGACTGCACTTTCTCCAATGGTTGGATACCTCATAATTATGGAAAATTAAGATATAAATTATATTTCTAGAGGGGACGACTCGAGATGCTTCACAAGTTAGAAGTCATTTATTATGAGAAGAATTACAAGTGAGCCTACATTCAGGGATATGAAATTTTGGGATAAGAAACCTTTTGGAAATTATTTTTAAGTAAACAATATTATCCATTTTAATATCATAACAAAATTATAGAGCTATCTTTACTGTGGAAAAACAATTTATATGGACCTGTGCAATTATAAATATCCTAATATGTATTTTAAATAATTCGTGAGATGCCTTTAAAGACTTACTCTTTTGTTGTTTTTAATTTTTTTTGAATATTGAATAGCTGAATATTGATAAGAAGACAGCTTAGCTTTTAAAATTCACTGCAAATAGGCTCCATATAGTTTCCTGTTTTTATGCCCCCACATAGTTTCTAAGGCTGTTTCCCTAATACATGAAATTAAGGCTTAGCTCTGCAATAAGATTTCTAAGTCCAAAGCATACACAATTTATATTTTGAAAGCCCATATTAACTGAGCAGTTAGAATAAAAAAACTATTTGAGCTTGGCAATTTAGAGATATATATTCTACTGTATATTCATATTATTGAAGGTCCAAACATTTGGATTTGTAATCCTAATGTTTTCTCTGACATTACTCACATACACATTGCTAAACAATTGAGATAATTTACATTTATGTAATTAGAAATTAAAACTTTGGAAATTAGATTTCTAAAAGATATGACCAATATTCTTCGCTGGCTCATCTATCTGACTTGTTACCCTGGCAATTACAAATTTTATGTGATCTTATTCGCTGTTAGGGTCCTGTGGTGCATCCATGTAAAAATACAGTAAAGCTAAGGGGACATGGTACAGAACTATGCAGACAAAACTATTTTCCTCTTAATATGGAGTTTCTTAAAATTTATCAAAATTGTGAATCAAGTATTTAAAATGTACTGCTATATAAGTTGTGTGTGTATATGTGTGCTTACCACAAGGAATGATATATTTCATTATCTAATATGTTTCGGCAGCAGTTATATAAAGATATGACCTTAGTTTCAGTTATTTTATTAGGAAAATGAAACCCTTTTATTTATTGACGTTACAGCTTTAAATCCTTTGAGAGCCACTTCTTTTGCTGATCCTTTCTTTATGCTCCTAGAGCTGCACTGTCCGGTATAAAGCCACTATCCAGATTTGACTGTTGAACAATTAAAATGTGGTTTGTCTGAATTGTCTTACATGTAACTGTAAGTGTAAACTGCACTTGGATTTCAAAGATTTATCACAAAGAAGACGATATAAAATATTTCATTAATTTATATATTGATTGCATGTTGGGATGATCATATTTTAGATATGTTGGATTAAATAAAATATATTACTAAAATTAATTGTTCTTTTTACTTTTTTAATGTGCTTAGTAGTAAATTTAAATTGCATATGTGGCTCACATTTGTGCTTCTCATATTTCTATTGGACAGCATTGTTCCAGAGTCTATCATATTTTATAAAAGGAAGTTTGATTTAGAAAGACAGATATTCTTTCTTTCATCTCCTTTCATTCTTAGTTTCAAAGGTTAGAAAGTATTCTAAAACTGTTTATATATTTCAGCAGTTAAATGACATCTGTTCTATGGAATGTAGATGTGCATATAACAATGTACGTTGTACTGTCATTTGTTCACTGGTTATAATGTTGTATATCGTTGTGTTCTAGAATGGAGAGAATAAGGAAACGTGAAACAATAACTACCAAGAATTGAAAAAGGGGACATGCTTATAGACTATAGAAAATACCATTAAAAAGACCCTTGTCCTGATAACATCTAGGAATTATACATTGCGATCCAGAATTATACTGTGCCACAGTTTTCTTTGATCATAGCTGACCTGAAAACCAATGATAGAAAGATATATTTAGTGGTTCCCAAGCTAAGAAAAAAAAATTCCAATTGAATTCAGTTCCTATATTTTTCTCTTACACAGAAATGTCATTTGTGACAGAGGATGCAAAAAAAAAATTCATGTTATAGTCATAAACTCCTAAGACACAGAGAAGTTCTTTAGGCTTCTTATGATGCCAATGCAAGTAATCTTCTCTTAAAAAGTAATTGTCTCTTTTCCCCATCCCACCCCCATTTCCATGTTTATTTGTTTTGTTTTGTTTTTCCAAAAAGACATATTTAATGCCCTTCGTGGGTTTGTTTTCTACTTACTAAATAAGGAATAACACTGTTGTATTTTGTATTTGAAATTGTAAGGTACATTTCTTTTTTCTTTTATTTTTAATTTAACTCTTTGTTTTACAGATGAGGGCAGAAGTGCAGTTGACCAAGCAGGTGGTGCACAGATTGTAATTGACCATTTAAGGTCACTGTGCAGTATAACAGATCCCGCCAATGAGAAGCTCTTGACTGTCTTTTGTGGCATGCTGATGAACTATAGCAATGAGAATGGTAAACAAAATTGAAAACTTGCTTTATCTCTGGGGGAAAAATTAAAAATCATCAATACTATAGTATAAACCAGACATATTTAGAAAAATTATGAACAAAGAATTCATAAGTGGCATATAAAATTATTAATCAGCCAACATTAAATTACAGTGTTTTAAAAATACAAAATGGTCATAGTTATTAAATGAGACTAGTTTTTGAAGGGTTGCCCATGTTAATCAATTCCACAAACAAAACATAATGGTATGGTTTAAGATTTCTTGCTATTAACACTTTAAAAGGAAACAATTTTAAAATAGCTTTATGTTTATTGCTTTATATTATACCAGAAGAATCTTTAAAATATAAACTCTGTATAAGTAAAATGACTTTATCTAGATACTAGATTAACTTGTAAGAATAAAAAGTCTTTTCATTAAATCTGGCCTTATAAAAATAAAGTTCAGAGCAATCGCAGATAACTGATTATAGAAATTTAATAAATACTGTACACAGAAGTTTCTTCTCTCTGTAAAACATTCTTAAAACCTAGCAACAAATGGCATGTCCATAATTTTCAGGTAGCCTATATAGTTGTTAATTAAATGAACATATAAACAGTGATATGAAAAAAAAAAAGCTTCACTATACTTTTAAGTGTCGTAAAAATGTATTATTTCATATGAATTACTTTATGGATCAAGTGTTCAGATTCTGGTAGTTTTCTAGAAATAAGGTCTTTGTATGATTTCTTTCATAAGGGCATTTTAATTTGTAGTCTTTGACAGAGACTTTTTATTTGTATATTAAACATAATATTCTTTCATGTGTTCTAGAAACATAAAGCCTTTTAGGCATATTTTTCACTTGTTCACTTTTGGTAGTCATGGGCTTAAGGAAGTATACTAAATAATTTTTTAAAAAATAGATAAACATTGATGACAAATGGCTACTGACATTTGGCCTTGGTGTTGGAGACAGTAGCAAATGGCAGGGACTGTAGCCCATGTGCCATTGAAAGGGGAGCCACTACTGTCCTGTAGCCAGTTGTTCTGTATGGCAGTTTGGTCATATGCTGCCAAATCTGTTCATTTGGGGGAGGGAGGAAGCTGAAAATCCAGCTTTTCCTGTGACATCTGATTTTTAAATGTTGGTTACATTTGCTTTTTTTTAGCACTGTACAGGCTCAACAGTGTTTCCTCAGGTCATCCTATCCGAGGGACACAAGTTTTAAACTTCTAATTATCCATAATGATAATTAAAAAATAGTTTTTATTCATGAAATGGCTTGTCTGTTAAACTTCGGCTAATAACAAATAATATTTTTATAGGGTCAGTTCCCTTTATTTTTCTTGCCCTCTTGCGGAACAGAAAATGTCCTAAATATGAACAGGAGAAACAAACGACAGAGTCTGGGTTATCTACAAAATGAATAGCTAGTTCCTAAGTAATCGAAATTTGACCATAAAACACAGATATCTGAATTGCCTTAAGACATCATTGGTCAGTTGTTCATGTTGCTTCCTGTCCCCTCAATTTCACTGAGGCTTAGACATCTAAGAAAGTGGGACAAGTGCTAAGTGTAGGAGAATGGTTTAGAAAGATAAATGAAAGGAATTAGTCTTGCTATGCCTCACAACTAGTTTTTTGTCCTTTGAGGAAGCTGTTGCTCAGAAATTTGTGCAAAGCCTATCAAATGACTTAAATTGTCTTTGAAAACATCACTAATTCTAAATACAACTGTGATTGAGTCCCTCTAATAGGATATCACACCATGTAGGGAAGTGCACTGAGAAGATAATGATTAAAAACATGAGGGTGCACAGTCCAAATGCATAGCATATTTCTTTTGTAAGAGTAAATTTTTTCCCTGGTATGCAAGTATTCCCAAGAAATAACTTACAGATACTTTGGAAAGCTATATTATTTTTCTCAGAACATTATTGGAACAGTGGTGGTTTTGTTTCATTATTCTAAAAGCCGCAATCTGAAAGCAGCTTTCAAAACTTATTAGATAAAATAGAAGTAAAATTATCCTTAGTATTTTAAAGGAACAAATGCCAAATTTATAACTGTCTTCTTTCCTCAGCTTCCTTTTATATTTGTCTTTCATGGGATCATAGTTTGTGAAGTGATTCTTTTTCTCTAATACACTTTAACTTAAATTATATCTTTTTTGTCTTACACAATTATTAAACATCTTTGTTTTGATTGTCAATTATTTACTTACTCTTTTCTTTAAAATATGTGCTTAAAGACTTTCCAACTTAAATACTAGGTCTTCTTGGCTAACTTCAAATCATTTGATATTGATCTCGTCCACCTAGATGAGTCACTGAGAGAAAAAAAACAATAGAGCATTTTGAAACTTACAAGGCACTTATTAGCACTGATAAATGAAGTTCCTTTTTATGTGTGTTTAATTTTGAATTTAGTATACAAACTTCTGCTACTTTCTAAGTACAAATACTGAGTGATAAATACCTACCTCCTTGTTACTCTAGCAGAAAAATTAACTCTACCTTTGAACCCAATAACTTGAGCTTTATTTAGAGGAAGTTATTCTTTAGCTCCATTGATACAATTTTTTAAATACAAAGATAAGTACTGAAAATTGTCACAAAGACAGTTTCTCTGACAAGAACATTTTCAAATTGTTTATTAGTCCTAAGACTGGATTGACATCTGACTGAAACATAGGATATATTAATTTCTCTCCGTATAATGGACAGTCCTGAGGAGGATATCCAATTTTTAAATCCATTAAGTAGGTAATAAGTTTCCTAAACACATGTATAACAGATATATTATGAAAGTACTTGGCAGAGAAATTTTTGTGCCCTTTGCTAAAGTGATATAAAACTCAAGGTTCATGAATTTTAAAACTTTTGACCCAGTTCAAGACTAGACACTTTTAAGCTATGAGGTGAATATATTCATGTTTCTTTACTGGTGAAACAATTAAAACTTTTTATACTCAGATAAGTATGGAATATCTGAATAGAAAAAGTTATAATTGCTTAGCTAGAAAAGTTGTATCATGTGTAAGTAAAATCATGTTTAAATAGAATAAGACTGTTTAGTGAAAATCATTTCAAATTTATCCTTTTGGGAAAAGTCATACCTGTTTTTCACATGTCAAAAAAAACAACACTTCATTCTGTGGCAGTCCAAAATAGTCTGGGTATTTGACATTGTAGTTAGAGAAAGGCATGTTGACAATTTGACATTCTATTTGAGGAAATGTGCTGAACTTACTAGATTTTCTTTATCTGGTTACAACTTTAAAATTTTAGTTATTTTATAAATAAGGAACTCAAACCTATTATTGTAGATATTTTTATCTCATTGGTTTCTTAGAAATCTTTTTTTCTAGCTTTGGTTACCCAATGCCAAAACATTGCAGTGAAGACTGAAAATTTTGTTCAGATCAACCAGCTGTTTTCAAATGCAACGTATAGCAGGAGTTTGGAAAATATTTATTGATTGACTTTTCTGGATACTTAGTATTGTCTACAGCTTTATTACTAACAAAATCAAAACTTGGAAGAAAAATGTGTTTTTGGAATGCATTTTCTTCATTAAATAAGGTAGCAGCATTATATACTCATGCCCACTATATCAGTTGATATTTCCTATTCATATACAAGTCAGTAGCGGAAGGTGGCATTGAAAACATGGCAGTAGTAACAGTATTGGATCTGTGGTTAAAAATTTATTATAGTTGACCCACGGACGTGATACATCTGCATGTTTATTCTTGAAAGTTGATTTCAATTTGTATAGAAACATCAGTAATCTAAAGCAAAGCACCAGAATAATACCTTGTTAAGGAATTTATTGGCAGTCACCAATTATATTACAATGTGACCGTGATTAATCAATACATATCTCTTGGAAAACTCTATAATTGAGAGTTTAATCTTTTTCCTAATACACTATGCTAGAAACACAAAATACAGGGAGAAGTCTGTTATAACTCTAAAGCAAATTGATAATGATGATAAGCATTAAAACAAAAACTATAGTTAATTCTGTGCCGTAAGAGAAAAGTAGAGGAAATAAACATTCCATCAAGGAAGAAAAAAATTTCCTTCTAAAATGAGTAACAGATATACACAGTCTATGACTGGCTTCTTCATGTGACCTGTATTATATATGTGATATATATGTATATATACATATGTGATTTTTACACACACAGCTGATTTTTCTCTCTAACTTAATAACTTTCTGTTACTGAATTCCTCTTTTTTCGTGGTTCCTGAAATCTCTCCGGGATACTCTCATGATAATTCTCACACTTAATGTGCTTCATGGACTTATGATAACTGAACTATGGTCGAAAGGAGGCCAGCTGTGCAATTTAGGAAATGCAGTTCGTGAGATATGTTACTGGAGCATAACAATTGAATTTAAGTATTAAGTCTGGCACTTAAATTCAGTTGTTGAAAATAGGCCTGTAAAGTATTTTCTCTCCTCTAATTTAAAGATCACTTAATGTGTAATTAACCTTAGCTGCTACTTTCATACTAATCATTTTCCTAGTGAACTCAGTCTAGTAACTTTACTTACTTGTTTTTTTCTTCATACTTAAAATAGGAATAGAAATTAACGAGGAATAATTCTGGTTAAAAATTAAAAAACAGTTTGGCCCTGAGTATATTCTTATGTTTTGGTATTACTTTATTAAAGGTGAGAAAGAACATATCCTAGATATTAGATGTTTAGAAAATGAGTTGCTTTGCATGAGTGAGAAACTGTTTCCAAAGTTTATTTACTGTGGGTACAAGCTAATTAACAATTCCATATATTTCCTAAATACTAAAAACTTTTTACCTAATGTTAAGGGAAACAAACAAAACAATTCAAAATGTAAAATTTTATCTTCACATTCATTGTCTCTTAAAAATTACATTAATTTTCCAGCATACGATTTTCAGTGTATTTTCTGTTCATTCATCTCAGCTTATAAAGGCATTAGAGATGTACTTTTAAAATCACATCCTTTGAAGCCCAGT